GAACATTTAGCTGTTAATGATCTTAAGATAAAGCTCATTTTTCTATAACATTCAGATACTAAGTATTCAATGTGCCCAGAGAAACTGAACACACCAGTAAAAATGATCCCGAGATCTTTCATCTCATTGATTCTCTGTAAATTGGTATGATTAATGAAATAGCCCTTGATAGTAGGTGACTTCTTTCGTGTGAAACTCATTATTTTGCATTTAGCTTCGTTGAGAGATAGGTCAGATACTGAAATAGAGATATAGTATTCATATTGTCACATATCGGGATAAAAAATTGTATAAGGTTAATTGAGTTAATTGAGACATACTTTTTTAGTAACACAATATAGTAGACTACATATTTAGAAATAATTATCATGTTGAAATTCATATTGCATTTGCATGGTATAGGACACAGAGAACTCATTATATTAGTTGAAGAGAGATATATTTGGAAGATGTACTACATTGAAGCTTGAAAAATATCGTGTTGGTGCTCTATTTTTCCCGCTATTTCTGCACGGGGTATAAGTTTGATGTATATTTTGAGGTTTCTTTTGAACATTTTTGGATTTGTCTCGCAGTTAAGGTTTATCGGTAATGAGCTGAAAAGATTTGGGCCTAAGTATAACTTTTTTGACCTACTGTTTTGTTCACGATTGGTATCACTATAGTTTTTTTGTCCAAAATGATCAATTCATTTCTCTCTCGAATACTTTTACCATCTACGTTGGTGTTCCACAGGAATCCGTATTGTATTGTCTCCAACCCTCTTTCTATCTATCGTATATCAACGACTTATTGGAAAAAACCAATTGTCTCGTCATTATATTTGGATTCCAAGGCATCGGCTGCGGATTAAACATCTTCATCGGCAGCAGGTTGCATATCTACGGAAGCGTAGAAGGGCCAAAGATTATTTGTTTATTTGATTCACCATAATTTCGACTTAAAAGTCGAAATTTCGACTTTTATCTCTTAATTTCGACTTTTATCTCGTATTTTCGACTTTTATCTCGTAATTTCGACTTTTATCTCGTTATTTCGACTTTTATCTCGAAATTTCGACACTCTTTTCAAATCACTTCGACAGTGCTCCAATATTCTCATAGTGGTATGTTTTTTTACGAAGAAATATGACAGAAACCGATTTTATTGAATATTCAAAGCCTACTCATGTTTTGATTGAACGTTCGGGAACGATTCTGCCCCAGTTAGTTTTTTTTGCGTCATTAGATCTCTATGATTTTTCGAAACGAGGAGAGAAAACCCATAATACCTAAGAAATGAACATTGTAATATATCTTCGAAGAACATACCGACAGTATTAGTTAGTTGCCATTGCAAACTGTGTTTCTACATGACGTTTAAGATGTGATTGTGTAGAGTATTCTTTCAAAATGTTAATGAATTTCTACTAGAACTGTCTTCAGTTGTAGTGAAAAACTGAATTTTAGATAAGTTTTGATAATGAAGTAGGGATATTACTGATCGAATTGATTTACTATGATGAGAAACTAATATTTTGGCCAAAGTCGACTTTCTCCTACTTGTGCGGAAAGCATTTACTTTTTCAAAAAGGTACTGAATAATATCAATGCATAATTTTCAATCTAAAATTCATTGACATTGACACTTCTCAGATTAATGTATAAATTAATTGTGGCGTAAGGATCTAGGGACCTTGTGTATTTATTTTTTTCATAAAAATTGAACATAATTTTCAAAAATCTTCATCACAGCCTGTTCGGGGATATGTACACTTCGACGAAAAATGTTTAAAAGCGAATGATGGAATCTTGATGAGGTGATCTGTAACTCCATAAAGGGAAGGCATCGCATACAATATACTTGGTCTCCCTGCTGGAGCAATAGCATTTCTTGTTTTCCGTATTCTATGAATACTCCATTCAAAA